TCTGATTTATTTTGAGTTAAATTTTGTGAAGGGGATAAGCTCTGTGTCTAGATTCATATTTTTGCATGTGAATGTCTAATCATTCTAACATTTCTTGAAAAGACTATCTTTGTAACATTGTATTGCCTTTGTCCCTTTGTCAAGATCAGTTAACTGTATTTTTCCGGATCTATTTCTGGACTCTGTTATGCTTCCTTGACCTCTTTGTCTATTTTTAATTACCAACACCGTGCTTTCTTGATTACTGTAGCTTGATAGTAAGTCTTAAAGTCTGACAGTGCCTGCCAGTCTTCCAACTTTGTGTTACTTCACTATTATATTGGCTATTCTGGGTTTTTTGTCTTTTCATGTAACCTTTAGAATGAGTGTCAATATCCATAAAATACTTCGCTGGGATTTTGACTGAGATTGCTTTATGTTTATAGATCAAGTTGGGAAGACCTGACATCTTGACAACATTGGGTCTTCCCATCCAAAAACCTGGAATGTATTTCCATTTATTCAATTGTGTGATATCTTTCATCAGAGTTTTGTAGTTTTTCTCATATAAATCTTGTGCATATTTTGTTAAATTTATGCGTAAGGTTTTCATTTTGGGGTGTAGTTGTATTGTGATTTTAATTTCATAGTTGCTACTGTATAAGAAAGGGATTGACTTTTGTATATTAATCTTGTATCTTGTAACCTTGTTATAATTGCTAATTCTAGGAATTTTTTGTCAGTTCCTCTTTTTTCTACAAAAATGGTTATGTCATCTGTGAACAAAGACAGCTCGATTTCGTCTTCCTTTTTATTTCCTTTTCATCCTATTGCATTAGCTAGGACTTTCAGTACAATGTTGAGAAGCATTGATAAGAGGACGCCTCCTTGCCTTGTTCCTGATCTTAGCCAGAAAACTTCATGTTTCTCACTGTGAGTTTGTTGTTAGCTGTAGATTTTTTGTAGCTATTCTTTTTCAAGTTGAGCAAGTTTTTCTCTCTTCCTCGTTGCAGAGAATATCATAAATGGCTTTTGAATTTTGTCAAATGGTTTCCCTGCATCTGTTGATATGATTATGTAATTTTTCTTTTTTAATCTGTTGATGCGGTTGATTGCATTGATTTTTTAATGTTGAACCAGCTATATATACCTGAGATAAATTCCACTTGGTCATGGTGTATATTTCTTTGTATACATTTTTGATTCAATTTGTTAATATTTTGTTGAGGAGTTTTGCATGTATTTTCATGATAAATTCATGGTTTTCTTCTAATGTCTTTGTCTGGTTTTGGTATTAGGATGACCTCATAGAGTAAGTTAGGAAGTATTCTCTCTTCTTGTTCCTATTTTCTGAAAGAATTTGTAGAGAATTGGTGTAATTTCTTTCTCAAATGTTTGTTCGAATTCACTGTTGAACCAGTCAGGGCTTGCTGCTTTCTAGTTTAGGTTATTAATTATTAATTCTATTTCTTTAATAGATATAGGATTATTCAGATTGTCTATTTGAGTCTTGGCAGATTTTGTCTTTCAAAAAATTCATCCATTTCAACTAGGTAATTAAAAATCTGAACATATAGTTACTCTTAGTAATGCTGTATTATTCTTTTCATATCTTTAGGATCTGTACTGATATTCCCTCTTTCATTTCTAGGATCAGTAAATTGTGTCTTCTCTCTTTTTCTTAGTTAACCTGGGTAGAGGCTTATGTATTATAGAAATCTTTTCAGGGAACCAGCTTTTTGTTTGTTTACTTACTCCATTGATTTCTGGAAAAAAAATTCTTCTCTGTCTGAAGCTAATATGATTAGTACTGACATGGTGTGTTTTTCTTCCCTTTTAAAAAAGTTTTTAACATAAATTTTTTTGGCAGGGGTAATTAGGTGTATGTATTACTATTTTTTAAATGGAGGTACTGGGGATTGAACCTAGGACCTTGTGCATGCTAAGCACGTACCCTACTGCTGAGCTGTACCCTCCCAACAATTATGTTTTTTTTTAAACACCATTGTTACTTAAAAAAAAATAAATCTGAGTGAGTTAGAAGATAGGACAAGATCCCACTAGAATGTCCCTGTGCATGGGTTCCCTGTGCAGTAGCAGGACTGAATCCTTGATTAGCTGCCCTTGCAGTCCACGGTTCTGTTCTCTCAGGTCGTCTCCTTCACCAACTTGTCCTACTGTTTTTTTGTAATTTGACATTTTCTTTCTGGAGTACAGTTTGAAGGTATGCATTGAAATATAAAACATGCTCAATCTTCAACCCGCTAATACTTCTAGGAGTTTTTCATAAGTCTGTGATTCACAAGTTCACAAAGACGCATGCATAAAAACCAAGATGTTTTAAAAATGAGATATTGCAAACAACATAAATGTGTGTAGTTAGGGCAGTGATAAAATGTAAATTTAATTTAATGAAACAAAATACAGCACAATTGTATTGACATAGAAATAAGTCTACCTTTTTTGAGTGCAAAAGTTTACAGAACAGTATTTATAAACATATTATGTAAAATGTTTTTGTGTACAGAGAGCTGTCCAAAAGGATGTTTGCCTGAATGCTATCAGTGATTTTCTTTAGATAATGGAACTCTGGATGATTCTCACTTCTTTACATTTTTCAAAGTGAGCATATGTTTCTTACAAAAACAGTACATTTTACTGAACTTCGTATAGTTCTTGATTAACAATTTGTGGATTATTCACTTTACAAATGAACTGTTGAAGACTTAAACTTTTCTCACACCATTCAGCATCTTTCTGAATCATCTCTCCTAATACCGATGTTTATTCAGGAAATTATCTTATTTTAATATTAATCTGAAAAGAACAAGATCAGAAGCAATGATTAGTCAAAATCTTTTAAAGCCAAATGGAAGTGAGGTGTTACCTGACATCCTACTTGGATTATGTACTTTTTAGTTCCTAGGTAATAACTTGGTAATAATGGGGCTGCTCTCAGCTGTTAGGTAATTCCTACTGCTGGAAATGAGCATGCAGGTATGGTTCTTGCTGAAGCTCTTCATTCGAGACCTGGCAACTTATGTAGCCTTCCTGGGTCTTGGATCACTCATCTGAAAATGAGGAAGAAATTGCCTGATTTAGCGGTTTGTTTGTGAGTATTTAGTGTGGTATAACTACATGTAAAGCACTTTTAACAGCATCTGAAACTTTAAATAAAAGTGCTCAAAAGACAATTATTATCTATGAGTACAAGAAAAGTCAGTTACCTTGTATTTTCTCAAGTAGATCAGTGATTTTATTAGGGTATATCTTATGTAGGATGCTCCTTCCAAATGATAATTTTGGATTTATTTTAGCTCCAGCTCAAAGATAGTCTTCTGTTACAGTGTACTGTCAGAATTAAGAAGTGAAATTTAGGAATGAATTTTCTAAACATGGTACTGTGATTTTAGCTAATGTATCCTCTTTGACGAATGCTTTTTGGAACAATGGAGAAACGTAGCTTGCTTATAATTAATACTTACTTATTTCCATGAAAGTCTGGCTTATTAACATAACAGTTAACATAACAATTTTCAAATTATTGGTGACTCTGAAAAGTTTATTCTCAGTTAGTTCCAACAATTTTAATCTGTTCTATTTTTGTTATATTTCCCCCACCTCAAAGTCTAGATTGAATATTTTCAGTCTCATGAAGATTTATTTATAATATTTAAGTTTAATTATTTGCCTGGTAAAACACATTTCATCATGTGTTTTATAAGTAGGACTAGTATTGATTCTGATTTTATGAAATTCTGTGTGCATCTGGACTTACAAAATACACAATTAAAGGCTCAGTTACTATTATTTATTATATGCTAAGTCTACTGATTTATTACTCAAATGCTTTTCACAAACTCATATGGTACCGGTAATTTCTCATAATTGTGTCATGATTTGTGTCACAGTTTGGGTTTTTTTTTGAAGAAAAACTGTATCTTTCTTTTATTTTTTCTTATTTTCTTGAAAAAGAATGATAAAAAGTAACATTAATATTAAAAATAGGAAAGATAGATTATCTCAACTTTCTGACTGTTTGGTCACTTGCTCTCAGTGTAGACTGCCTGCCTAAAAAAGTTTGAAATCAGAGCAACTTGAATGACATAGATCTGTTTTTAAATATTGGGTATCAGAATAAGTTCATATTTAAAGAAGGCTTCTATGTAAATGCAGTCTGAATCTGAGAAAATATCTTATTTGCCTTTAGAAAATATGAAATCTGAGTAGGAATGTATATCTACATAATATATATGTATATATATAATATATATGTATGTATATCTCTTTTGGTTTTGTTTCCCCTAAGAGCACTGTTCAGAACAAGTATCTGGCTTATCTATTGAAGATATTGAGTCTACACATAGCACATTTTCTTAAGAAAACTTTGTTCAAACTCTTAAGTGCCTAGTCCATGATAACTGGCTCATGGTTCTGTGTGCTTTTTCATTAGCACATTGGAATAAAAATAAATACAAGAACTCTGTATTCTTTAATATCAGCTATCACATAATATTCCTTTGATTGTTTGCATATTCACTATTTTGAACCTACAGGAAAATCTTGGGATGAGAACAATATTCTTTCAATTTCTATAACGGTACTTTACTAGAAACACAAATAATCTATTAGGATAATTGATCATCAAGCAAACATCAGTTATCATCTAATTGCTCTCTTGCTGCAAGCTAATATTAATCATTTCAGTGAGTCATTTTTCCGTTTAATTATGGGAAAGATATTTTATTTCATTATTTTCTGATTCACTTTCATATTTGGAATAGTTTTGAAGTTAGATCTTATGTCGTGTACTTCACTGAGTTTGGGGCAAAAGGAAAATATGTCTTTGCTGATGGAAGAAAGGTGAATTCAGTGTTTCGTGGCTCCTAAGCCTTCATTTTAGCAAAGTTTCCGTTGTTTCCTCTACTAACGACTTCAAATGAATTCCACCAGCCGTTCTACGTGTTGATAGACTGTTGATCTCAGTGCCATAATCATAATCCAGTTATCTTTCCTTGTAGCATCAGCGGCTGCTTGAAATGCTTGATACAGAGAAGGAACTGTTAAAAGAAAAAATAAAGGAAGCTTTGATTCAGCAATCTCAAGAGCAGAAGGTAGTACTTTAAGTTTGATCGAGTGTGGGAAGAATGTTCTGTTACCTCAGATAATACATTTAATATCTAACTGTCTTATCATTTACAGGAAATATTGGAAAAATGTTTGGAGGAAGAAAGACAAAGAAATAAAGAGGCATTAGTATCTGCTGCAAAGGTATTTCTATCTGAAAAGTTTATCCTGTAGTTTAATTGCAGTAGTTTTTATTAGTTCTATTTTTGTTGTGTTTACCCCCACCTCAAAGCCTAAGTTGAATGCTGTTGATCTCATATAAGAATTGCTTTTTATCATTTTTGTGTCTAATTATTCTTTTCTTCTTCTACTGTTCATATTCTTGTTAAATTTACATTATACAAGATCATGATGATGTTGAAATGCTTTACGTTTAGATTATTAATCACTTTTTAAAAGAATGTATGTATATATATATATATATAGAGAGAGAGAGAGAGAGAGGCTAATATCCACTTCGTAGGTACCATGCAAGCAATGAGTATGTACGTGTGTGTACATACACATATTTATGATTTTTAAAGCCAACTTTGACATAGTTCATCTGGGTAGTATATTCATAGATTTTAAATGTACATATACTAATAAATACATATGTTGACCTGAAATAAATAAACTATCTGATAGTTGTCCAGCAAAGGTGGGTTTACTCAGGATCAGCAGAGAACTGCATTTCGGGGTGTGCAGCCGTGGTGAGCCGCATACAAGTTCCCACGTGGCAAGGAGAGCACTTTCACAGAGAGAAAAGGAAGTTGGGGCTGTTACAGTAAACAAGGAGTCTCTGGCTCTTCTCTGTCCGAGTCCCGCCAGGACATAAGAGGGGTCTGTCATCTTCCGTTGGCCTCCACTGTCTTCGCAGGGCATGGGAGTTCCCCCTAACTGTGTCTCCTGACACTGTTTAAATTTTAATTATTTTACTTATTTAATTGAAGTTTCTGTTTATTTTCCGCTTTGATCAAGATCTTTCTCTGAAATCACTGCTGATCAAGAGTCAGGTTTTCCAGTTTCAGCACTTTTTGTCCCTCAGTGACAGGAAGGACCCTTCCTGGGTGTAATGTGGACTGGAAACCTATTGCAGTGACATTCAAGTAATGAAGAAAGGTAGGAAGGAGACCTCCCAGGCACCTTTTATCTAAAGTTCATGTGTTATCAAGATTGGAGATTGTCTGAAGTGTTATGTCATCATCAAAGGTTTGGTGACACACTTTCAACAGGCCTGGTCTAGGTTTCTTGGGGAAGCTGTCTCATCAAATGTCATTGCTTTATTTCTGGGAAATCTTTCCTTTCATGTCACCAGGTGATACGGAGGTTCAGTTAGGGCTTGGTTCTTCCTTTAGGTGTGTCACATGAATCCAAGAATCTATTCCTTGGAGTTTGGCAGCACATGGATTGGTTATCAGTACCTGATAGGGGCCTCTCCAGTGAGGCTGAAGAGAGTTCTTTCAGAACTGTCTTTTCCAGTAGACAAAATCTGCAGGTTGCAAGGTGCGATGCTTAAGGTCGTCGTCTCCCAAGGGTGTACTGTGAAAAGATGCTCTGCTGAGCCATGGTTATTTTTAATGGAAGCAATTAGGCCTTTGCAATATTGGAATGTCTCTCCTTTTATCAGTTGGGAGTCAAAATTGACAGGAGCCAAGTGCATTGGGCGTCCCGTGACTATCTCAGAGGGTGAAAATGTATGAGTTCCCTCCTAAAGAGGTGGATCTGGGATTTAGAAGGATCAGCAGCCATGCTTTTGGCCAAGGTATTTGGAGGGCCTCTACAAATTTTGCCAAATGAGTCTTAATGCTATTAGTGCATTCAGCTAAAATAGAGGATTGAGGGTGTTAAGTGCAGGGAAAATGTAAAACCAACCAAACGGCACACACTTGTTGAAGCACCTCACCACTAACATGGATTCCTAGGTCACTGTGAAGTTTGAGAAGACTTTTTCAGGTAGGGCTAGTCTTTTCCAAAAGGACTTTAGCCACAGAAGAAAGCATAACCTGTCTGCAAGGGAAGGCTCCTTTCCCTCCAGTGTGAAAACTACAAACCATGACTAAAGCATGGTTATACCCATGAAACAGACGGAGTTGTATGAAAGCCATTTACAAATGTGACCTTTTTTTGTTATGATATAATGAAATGTGTCAACATCTGGTGGAGTTGCATAACTCACTGAATCAGTGTTTTCCATATAAAAAAATGTTTTAAAAATTAGATAGAGGGTTCATTCAAAGGGCAAGAGAGGATTATAATGTAAGGCAGTATAAAAAATCCATTGGCATGATTTGATTTTCCTTATTGCAACTTACCTTTAAGAACTAGCTCTTGTTAAGTTTTGGTATGGAGTCAAAAAGAATATCTACAGTGATCTCAGCTGGCTTTTCTCTCTATATCTTTGTGAGACTGGGTTTGTTTTTTTTAATATGCTTTGATCAAAAAAATATCATTACAAACTTAATACAAAAGGTAGGTCTGAGAATCTAGGCTCTTGTATTAAGTCACACAGTAAGGAGGTTTACATTCTTCTCATTCTTTAATTTTGGAAAATACAATTATTTTTCATAAAATACAGTATGTGTTACTATACTGTGCATTTAATGGTATGAACTCTAAATGAATTAATAAGTAAATATTCTTATTTTCTCTTGGTTTGAATTTCTAGTATCTAAAACCTTACCATGTATAACCCAAGTAAGCTAAAGCTCTTACAAGGCATCTATAATTTTGAAGAATATAAAGAGATCCTAAGGCCAAACAGTTTGAAAACCGCTACTTAAAGCTAAGCCTTGGTTTCTTTGAAGTTTAGAAATGCCACAGAAATAAGTTGGTTATTTGCACAAAAACAAATAGTTGATTTTATTTTACAGCAATTACAACATCAGAAAGAAACCTATAGAATCAAAATTTTGTGTTTTTTAGGTTAATTCAAGCCTGTCTTATTTAAGGAATATTGTGTAGTCACTTTTTCAAACATTTTTGTTTTGGTCATTATTTATTTTGAAGCTTGAGAAAGAAGCAATGACGGAAGCAGTTTTAAAAGCCATAGAAGAGGAAAGAAAACATTTGGAAAAAGCTCACGCTGAAGAAAGGGAGTTATGGAAGACTGAGCACGCGAAGGATCAAGAGAAAGTATCTCAGGAGATTCAAAAAGCTATACAGGAGCAAAGAAAAATTAGTCAGGTTAGTAAAATTCGCTCTTTGTAAATATTTTTTTCTTATTCTCAAAATAAAGTATCTCTGCTACTATTTTCTTTTACTTGAAATCACCTTATTGGACATAATTGTCTTACCTTTGATTTTAATATTTTAACTGAATAATTTTCAATTTATTTGTGCTTTTACTTTTTAACACCCATCACCTTACCTTTTTACTCTATTTGCAAAGAAGTCAGAATCCAAATTTATGTTCAGTCCTTGCAGCTACATTAAGGCTCCTGTTTAATATGTTTGCTTTTTCTTTTTCACAAACACACACATACATATACAATCAAAGAAAAAAATATATGTGTATGGAAAACAGTTTAATTGATTAATTTATGTCTAATTTGTATATTTATGTACCTGTGGTTGGTAGCAGTAACAGAACCTGACAAATAACCCCTGTAGTCTTATAAGATACATACGTATCAACGCATGTGGCCTGTCTACGAAATAACTTGATCACTTACCTGAACTATTAAAAACTACATTAATTTCATTTTCCATAATTGAATTTGCATGGTTCTATTTTACTTGTGTTTGGTCTTTTCTTTATATAGACAATGAGATATCTGAATAAATCAAGTAAATCTTTTTTCCAACAAGTATAAAGAGCAAAAAAAAAATTATGGAAATCTTTATTTTACAGATCAAAACATTACATATACGTCCATTGTTCATTCAACCGTGCATTATAAATGTAGCTGAAAAGACTAACTTTTGAGAACAAACAACCTAGAAGATTTACTTATGAGCCATTAGCTAATCTTAATGAAGCCTAGGATACTGAGTCTTTCTAATATCCAGGATCAATGTTATATGCTTTTAAAAGATGTCACCTAAGTTTATTCTCAAGAACACACAGTTACTCATTTATTTTTAAAATTATGCAGATCTGTAATGACATCTGTGGTAAGATAACTGTTTAACAGTAGTGTGGTAATAGATCTTATTTTTTTTCCTTGCTTTTTTCCATTTAAGTAATGATTACTTTCTAATTCTTTCTGTAACCTATGTTAGTATCAACAAATATATATATATTGTATGTCTGTTTAATTGTCTCTCAGTTCATTTGGTTGGAATTCCATGCCAGTAAGGTCATTTGGGAGAGTTTACTTAAAACTTTTTTTGTGACCACAGACCATTCCTTTAAGCTAACACAGATGTGGGTTATTAGTCACCATGAAATTGGGAAAGAGGGCAGGAATAAATCAGCACATACTCATCACCCAAACAACAACAACAAAAATGTATCTTAAACAGCATCCTCTCTGTCAGTTTGTCAGGAGCATTCTTGTCCACACGAAATACTATAGTATATAATATACTTTGATATTTGTTCTCTGTTGGCTCAGAGACTGTGACGATAACCCAGTCTTGTTGTGAATAAATACTTTGTGTTTATTTTCTTACAAGTGGTTGTATATTTTTCTAGAGAGAGAGAGAAGTGTGTATGTGTTTAATTGCCTTGTAGCTGACAGTTGAATAGAGAAGATCTGTAGGAGAGAGAACAGTGTTGCCAAGTAACGCTCAGATTTTCAAATGTGAGTTGGTGCTATCAGATGTATGCCAGGTCCTCCTTAAAGAGCTCACTGCTTTTATTCTCACATGGTTATAGTAAAACCTAAAATCAAACAGCTGTCATTCTACCAGCCCCTTAAAACTTCTTAGTTCTATTCTAGAAAATTGACAAATTACTTTTCTTTGGAGCCAGATAAAGCTTATATATCTTTCATATCTTTTATTTATTTAAGCCAGCAGGATAAGCAAATAAATTGCCATGGTCAAACTTAGTCTTTGGTGTTTTACATTAATAATTGAAAGGACTTCCCATTATATTCCAGGGATTATACTTATTTCTGGGGGTACAGTAGTGAAAAAGAATTTTTTCCCTGCCTTCTTGTGAAGAAAACTGACAGGGAGCTATTAAAGGTATAAGAACGTGAAGTAATGATCAGTGTCACGAAGGAAAATGAAGCTGTGTAAGAGGCTAGAGAGGGAGGGAACCAATGTATAAATCAGGCAGTCAGGTGAGGACTCTCTAAGGAGGTAGCATCTGAGCTGAGGCCTGCTTTGAAATGAGGCATTTACTTTGTGAGTGGCTGGGGGAAGAGTGCTTTAGGCATGAGAAATGGCAAGTGCAAAGGCTCTGAGGCAGGAAGATGTTTGGTATAACTAAAACTGTGTGGCACCGTTATGGATATAGACAGACACGCAGACCAATGGAATAGGACAGAATACAAAGGCACAGATTTTCCTGTAATTTACTAATCTATAAAGATGAAGTTACAAATTAGATAGGATAAATTACCTTAGCATTTCAGGGTTTTTAATCTGGGTTCAATGGAAGGGGGCCCTAGACAGTCTATGAATTTACTGAAGTTATGCAAAATTTGTGTATATGTGCAGATTTTTCTGCAGAGATTTTCTGCAGAATCTTTTATTAGATTTTCAAAAGTATCTTAGTGATTAACCCAGAATAGATTAAAAATACGATCATCCCTCAGTATCTGTGGGGGATTGATTCTCAGACCCACTGTTAATTCCAAAATCTGCCAAGTCTCAAGTCCTAAAGTCGGCCCTCCATATGGCAGTTCTGCACCTGCGAATTCAACCAACCATGGATCGTGTAGTACTGTATGTATTTATTGAAAAAAAAATGTTTAAGTAGACCCATACCTGTGTTATTCAGGGGTCAATTGTAATTGCTATTGGCTGCCCATTTCTTTCTGGACTTTGTATACCAAATGAATTTCAGATAGATTAAGTCTATACATTTAATATATTATAAAGTATCAAATATTGATACTCTTTGAAAGGGAGGGTCCAAGCAGAACTTGTGGAATGGCAAGACTAAGGACCTTGGCAAATTAGCTTCTCCAGAAAGGCAATGAGAAAACTAGCAAAAATGGACAAAATCAGTTTTTTTTTAGAACTCTGGAAATTAACCAGTAGCTTCAACAACCCAAGGACTATTTATTCAAGAAAAAAAGTTAAATCTCTGTCTATAAGTACAGCAAGCTTTGTAGAGTTTTAGCTTGCCTTATTCCCATCCCCTACTGTCCAACTCCATGGTAGCTTTAAAAACTAGTACAGCATCACAATCACAGCAGCTGTGAAAATCAGCAATGGAGAAGCCACTGAAGGGGCAGACCAGGTTCAGAGCTCCAGACAAACTGTCTCCAGAGAATTGTTACTGTTTGGCCCGACTGGCAGTTCCCTAGAAAGTTTGCATTCACAAGGCTTGTTGCTGTTTGACCTGACTCAGTGTTTGCTCAGCAGGAAAAACTCTACACCCACAATGTTTGTCAGAAACAATAAGTGGCAACTGTTTAACTTTTCAGCTGCCTGGGACAAAAATACCACTCGGGGCAAACAAGAGGCCAGCCAAAAAACTTAAAATTGAGAATTCTGGGAAATGTGGTTGCCATAGATAACTTTGAAAAGCTCTTTCTCTTAAAAATGTTCTTGGAATACTTGAAGGTCACACACATACGTAAGGTATATGTGCCCAGGAAAGACCTAAGAAGGTCCTAATCTCTTACCGCTGGCTGACTGACTCTATGCAAGCAGGAAGTGGAGGCTGAGGTAGAGTTGTAAACTGTGTGTTGAGGGTGTGCCCCAACAGATAGAGGTTGACAAATAATGAAAAACTTATGAGTTCAAGTTATTTAAGAAATAACTAATTTGTCTGATCATAGCTGACCACTGAGCTAACCCAGCAGAGACTTAAATGGCTACATATGACAAAGAATATAGACTTTACAGAATTAGTACAGAAAAGTTGTAGAATGAAAGTTCCTAAAGAAACAAATAGCAGCAACAGTTATTCCTGGGGGGATGAAGGAAAGCTAATTTCCAGAGTTGCTGTATTATATTATTTCAGATGTCTAGTTTTTGTCGACAACACACAATTATGAGATATGCAGAGAAACAGTAAGGCATGCTTATAAATAGGAAAAATAGTCAGTAGAAACTACAATGATGTTGGACTTAATAGACAAAGATTTTAATCTGCTATTATAAATAGTGCAAAGAACGAAAGGGGACCATTTCTGAAAATTTATAAGCCCTCATCATATATATTACAGGTATGTGTGCTCTTCAAAAACTAACACTAGAATTTTTTGGAAAACTGCTCTATTAAATTTTCAAAGTGCACCCTCTTTGCTATAAAAACAAGGTTGCATGTACATGAATGAGTACTTCCCTTCCTACCGTACAGTGAAAATGTAATATATGTGTGTACAAATATATATATATTACATATAGTTTACATTTTGTGTATGTTGTACATTTTCACTGTATTCTCTAAGTGTCTTAGTATCACTTCTTTATTTTCCATTTATTTTTCTCTGTTATGTGTATGGATAATTTCTTCTATTGTATCTTCTAATCCACTAATTCTCTAATTTGCTTTTAAAAACCCATCTATTACATTCCGAGTTACACCTCTTTTATTTTTTATTTTTCTAGAATATTTATTCATTCATTTATGTCATTCAGATGTGTCATTTTGTTTATTTCTGCTTAATCTCAGAATCAGGAGATACCCTCAAGACAAATCAAATTTGAGTGGCTGGGCTAACGTGTCTGTCTTCTTCCAGATCACGAAACACTATTTTTAGTATCTAACAAGATCTTTGATGCTTGTAAGATATTTTGGTTATTTTCTTCTATTTGGATCGGCTTCTTTAGTTTTCTAAAGCAAGAGTCTTGGTGTTAATTACATGTACACCAGTATTAGGAGTCCCATTGTTATCATATTATGAGGCAGAATTTGGAATCCCTTATTTATCATAACACAAAGGAGAAGGAGATACAAAGTGAAATGGAAAGATGGTGTTTTGAATTACTTGTTAGTTTAAAACTTTAATGGCAGTATTTCTTGGTGAAAAGTGCACATGGCTTGGGCTTCAACTTTGGAAAGGCAGTGCTAAGTTAAGGACTTGCCTGAGCATGTCTAAAGGAAATTGCTGTAT